GGACTCAGCACCTTCCGAGGAAATGTATGGCTTGTTGGCCCTGCGCCGCGGTGGAGAGTGGCCAAGCTCGTCATTTTCCAATTGCCCAAAAGGCAGGTGCCAGCCCCTGACAATTTTCACATGTAGAAGAGATGGTGGGGGCCAGTCTTTGAGCATGTCGGTCTCTGCCAAAGTGCACGGCAGCGCCGACGTGTGGAGCTGTAACTACGGTCAGGGACAGTACATGTCATTTACGGCCCACTGGGTGGAACGTGGTGCCGCACAGCCGGCACCAGCAACTTGGACAGGTCCACGACGCTTTTTGCCTCCACGTTTGCACGTCCTTGGTCCAGCAAGCATGTCCCGCCTCTACCACCTCTTTTTTCCCGCCCGTGTCCCGAGCCAGCCACCCGCCACCCCCGTGCCAAGTCCCATTACCCGACCCGGCATATCACATGTGCAGGGCGCAACGGTGTCACGCTGTGCTGCACCTGGTATGCCTTGGCGAACGTAGTCACACAGGGGAGGAACTGCTGAGTGTAATGAACAGAGAAATCGACAGATGCTGTCTCTCCCTCATCCGCGCAAACTAAAAAATCGGAAACCATGTTGACTGACAACGGAAAGAACATGGTGTCTGCTCTGCGTCAAGGAAGGTTGTGCCATGCGCCATGCATGGCTCACGTGTTCAATCTGGTTGTCAAGCGGTTCCTATAAAAATCCACCATCCCACTGCAAGACATCCTTAAAATGTCACTAAACTGTGCATGCATTTCAGCCATTCCTACACCGCAAAGAACACACCCTCATTGATGCTGCAGCGGCAGAACGGAATTCCACAGCATCGCCTGATCTGCGACGTTGCAACAAGGTGGAATTCAACCCTACACATGTAACCCAAAACCGCCTTTACGAGCAGCGAAAGGCCCAATCAACCGAGATTTCCTGATTTACAAGCGGATAAAGGTACTTCCCCCTGTGTAACTTAGATGTCCAGCCATTGGCAGCTCATAGCGTGACACCTGCCGCTTGCTCAGGGCCCTTTTGAGGAGGCCACGCTATTCGTGAGTCGGCAGGACTATGGGATGAACGACGTCATTCCTCTGTTGCACGTCCTGGAACAAATGCTGTTAACAATGGCTGGTCAGGGTGCGGTAGACGTGGCGCACAGATCTCAACGCCACATGACCCCTGTGGGGGGCAGGACAGGAAGAAGAGAGGAGGTAGAGGAGGACATTTGTGCTCAGGAATTATTGAGTGAAATGGGTGGTTTTTTCCACTCAGCGGACAGGAGTGGAGGAGCAGGAGCATCTGGTATAGGAGGAGTAGGAGGAAACAGAGGACCCAGGACGCACCGTGGCAGTATGCTGTGGAGATGGCGGCAGGGAGTCCCTCGCAGTATCCTTGGCACAAATGGGCCCATAGCATGCTCGGTTTGCTTGCGTAGGTCGACAGCCGAATAATAACCATCAGACAGAGGGATGACTTTTGGCTGTCCACCTTGTTGGACCCCTCGCTACCGTCCAAAATGGTGGCCTTTTTCACACCTGCTGAGAGGGAGGCCAAAATTAACGTACTATAAAAACCACCTATGTAGTCAGTTTGGTCTCTGCCTTTGTGCGCCAACGTCCATCCTCAGACACTGTGTGGCCCTGTCTGTGCGCTCGCGTTCCGCTGGCATGGCAGCAGGGGAGGGGTGGGGTGGTAGGAGCAGTTGGCAGCTCCACCAGCAGCGGCTGCCTCAGTCTGCAGTCGATGATGAGTAGCTTTCTTCACCAGCGCAGTGTGAGGAAACTACTAACCAGCCGCAGCAGCAGCAGCAGCATCAGGTGGACCTGGAGCAGGAGCTCAAACAACAGGCTTGGGGCCTACTTGGACAGCACCCTGCCAACCCGAGGTAGACAATCCCCTTGACTACTGGGCAACAAAACTTGACCTTTTTGGGCCCCAACTAGCTGAATTTGGCCCTTGAAAGGCTGTCATGCCTCGGGCCAGTAGCGTGGCATCGGAGCGCGTGTTTAGTGCGGCAGTGGGAGGATGTATTGTAACTCCGCGTGCGGAGGACACACTGTCCACGCCAAAGTGTGGAAGAGACTCACGTTTGTGAAAATGAATCAGCGTGGATTAGTCTGGATTTCAAACCACCAGTTCCTGAGACACAACTGACAAAATCCGCCATGCAGAATCATGCCTCAAACATGTGCCACTTTTCAGGTCTCCTCACACTGCTGGTGGTTTGAATTTTTTTGACATAGGGTGCTGGCAGATTACGGGCCTCCTATAGCTGCTGCCAGGCCCCTAATCTGCCATAGGGCCCCTATCAGAACCGCCTCCATCATGCTGCTGCCCAAGGTCCAGAGTCTCTCATGGGCCCTGTACGGCCTCCCATTGCTGCTGACTCTCATCCATCGCCACAGCTGCCATGTGCCACTTTCAGGTCTCTTCACACTGCTGGTGTGTTAAATTTTTTGACATAGGGTGCAGGCAGATTACGGGGGGCCTCACATAGCTGCTGCCAGGCCCCTAATCTGCCATGGGGGCCCCTATAATACCCACCACGCCTCCTCATGCTGCTGCCAAGTCCAGAGTCTCTCATGGGTCCCTGTACGGCCTCCCCATTGCTGCTGTCTCCATCGCCACACTCTGCTGCCATGTGCCACTTTCAGGTCTCTTCACACTGCTGGTGTGTTAAAATTTTTTGACATAGGGTGCAGGCAGATTACGGGCCTCACATAGCTGCTGCCAGGCCCCTAATCTGCCATGGGCCCCTATAAACCGCCTCCTCATGCTGCTGCCAAGTCCAGAGTCTCTCATGGGTCCCTGTACGGCCCTCCCATTGCTGCTGTCTCCATCGCCACACTCTGCTGCCATGTGCCACTTTCAGGTCTCTTCACACTGCTGGTTAAATTTTTTGACATAGGGTGCAGGCAGATTACGGGCCTCACATAGCTGCTGCCAGGCCCCTAATCTGCCATGGGCCCCTATATACCGCCTCCTCATGCTGCTGCCAGGTCCAGAGTCTCTCATGGGTCCCTGTACGGCCTCCCATTGCTGCTGTCTCCATCGCCACACTCTGCTGCCATGTGCCACTTTCAGGTCTCTTCACACACTGCTGGTGTGTTTAAATTTTTTGACATAGGGTGCAGGCAGATACGGGCCTCACATAGCTGCTGCCAGGCCCCTAATCTGCCATGGGCCCCTATATACCGCCTCCTCATGCTGCTGCCAAGTCCAGAGTCTCTCATGGGTCCCTGTACGGCCTCCCATTGCTGCTGTCTCCATCGCCACACTCTGCTGCCATGTGCCACTTTCAGGTCTCTTCACACTGCTGGTGTGTTTAATTTTTTGACATAGGGTGCAGGCAGATTACGGGCCTCACATAGCTGCTGCCAGGCCCCTAATCTGCCATGGGCCCCTATATACCGCCTCCTCTGCTGCTGCCAAGGTCCAGAGTCTGTCATGGGTCCCTGTACGGCCTCCCATTGCTGCTGTCTCCATCGCCACACTCTGCTGCCATGTGCCACTTTCAGGTCTCTTCACACTGCTGGTGTGTTAAATTTTTTGACATAGGGTGCAGGCAGATTACGGGCCTCACATAGCTGCTGCCAGGCCCCTAATCTGCCATGGGCCCCTATATACCCGCCTCCTCATGCTGCTGCCAAGTCCAGAGTCTGTCATGGGTCCCTGTACGGCCTCCCATTGCTGCTGTCTCCATCGCCACACTCTGCTGCCATGTGCCACTTTCAGGTCTCTTCACACTGCTGGTGTGTTAAATTTTTTGACATAGGGTGCAGGCAGATTACGGGCCTCACATAGCTGCTGCCAGGCCCCTAATCTGCCATGGGCCCCTATATACCGCCTCCTCATGCTGCTGCCAAGTCCAGAGTCTGTCATGGGTCCCTGTACGGCCTCCCATTGCTGCTGTCTCCATCGCCACACTCTGCTGCCATGTGCCACTTTCAGGTCTCTTCACACTGCTGGTGTGTTTAAATTTTTTGACATATAGGGTGCAGGCAGATTACGGGCCTCACATAGCTGCTGCCAGGCCCCTAATCTGCCATGGGCCCCTATATACCGCCTCCTCATGCTGCTGCCAAGTCCAGAGTCTCTCATGGGTCCCTGTACGGCCTCCCATTGCTGCTGTCTCCATCGCCACACTCTGCTGCCATGTGCCACTTTCAGGTCTCTTCACACTGCTGGTGTGTTAAATTTTTTGACATAGGGTGCAGGCAGATTACGGGCCTCACATAGCTGCTGCCAGGCCCCTAATCTGCCATGGGCCCCTATATACCGCCTCCTCATGCTGCTGCCAAGTCCAGAGTCTGTCATGGGTCCCTGTACGGCCTCCCATTGCTGCTGTCTCCATCGCCACACTCTGCTGCCATGTGCCACTCAGGTCTCTTCACACTGCTGTGTGTGTTAAATTTTTTGACATAGGGTGCAGGCAGATTACGGGCCTCACATAGCTGCTGCCAGGCCCCTAATCTGCCATGGGCCCCTATATACCCGCCTCCTCTCTGCTGCTGCCAAGTCCAGAGTCTGTCATGGGTCCCTGTACGGCCTCCCATTGCTGCTGTCTCCATCGCCACACTCTGCTGCCATGTGCCACTTTCAGGTCTCTTCACACTGCTGGTGTGTTAAATTTTTTTGACATAGGGTGCAGGCAGATTACGGGCCTCACATAGCTGCTGCCAGGCCCCTAATCTGCCATGGGCCCCTATATACCGCCTCCTCATGCTGCTGCCAAGTCCAGAGTCTCTCATGGGTCCCTGTACGGCCTCCCATTGCTGCTGTCTCCATCGCCACACTCTGCTGCCATGTGCCACTTTCAGGTCTCTTCACACTGCTGGTGTGTTAAATTTTTTGACATAGGGTGCAGGGATTACGGGCCTCACATAGCTGCTGCCAGGCCCCTAATCTGCCATGGGCCCCTATATATATACCGCCTCCTCATGCTGCTGCCTGCTGCCAAGTCCAGAGTCTGTCATGGGTCCCTGTACGGCCTCCCATTGCTGCTGTCTCCATCGCCACACTCTGCTGCCATGTGCCACTTTCAGGTCTCTTCACACTGCTGGTGTGTTTAATTTTTTTTGACATAGGGTGCAGGCAGATTACGGGCCTCACATAGCTGCTGCCAGGCCCCTAATCTGCCATGGCCCCCTATATACCGCCCTCCTCATGCTGCTGCAGCCAAGTCCAGAGTCTGTCATGGGTCCCTGTACGGCCTCCCATTGCTGCTGTCTCCATCGCCACACTCTGCTGCCATGTGCCACTTTCAGGTCTCTTCACACTGCTGGTGTGTTAAATTTTTTTGACATAGGGTGCAGGCAGATTACGGGCCTCACATAGCTGCTGCCAGGCCCCTAATCTGCCATGGGCCCCTATATATACCGCCTCCTCATGCTGCTGCCAAGTCCAGAGTCTGTCATGGGTCCCCCTGTACGGCCTCCCATTGCTGCTGTCTCCATCGCCACACTCTGCTGCCATGTGCCACTTTCAGGTCTCTTCACACTGCTGGTGTGTTAAAATTTTTTGACATAGGGTGCAGGCAGATTACGGGCCTCACATAGCTGCTGCCAGGCCCCTAATCTGCCATGGGCCCCTATATACCGCCTCCTCATGCTGCTGCCAAGTCCAGAGTCTCTCATGGGTCCCTGTACGGCCTCCCTCCCATTGCTGCTGTCTCCATCGCCACACTCTGCTGCCATGTGTGCCACTTTCAGGTCTCTTCACACTGCTGGTGTGTTAAATTTTTTGACATAGGGTGCAGGCAGATTACGGGCCTCACATAGCTGCTGCCAGGCCCCTAATCTGCCATGGGCCCCTATATACCGCCCCCTCATGCTGCTGCAAGCTGTAAAGTCCAGAGTCTCTCATGGGTCCCTGTACGGCCTCCCATTGCTGCTGTCTCCATCGCCACACTCTGCTGCCATGTGCCACTTTCAGGGTCTCTTCACACTGCTGGTGTGTTAAATTTTTTGACATAGGGTGCAGGCAGATTACGGGCCTCACATAGCTGCTGCCAGGCCCCTAATCTGCCATGGGCCCCCTATATACCGCCTCCTCATGCTGCTGCCAAGTCCAGAGTCTGTCATGGGTCCCTGTACGGCCTCCCATTGCTGCTGCTGTCTCCATCGCCACACTCTGCTGCCATGTGCCACTTTCAGGTCTCTTCACACTGCTGGTGTGTTAATTTTTTTGACATAGGGTGCAGGCAGATTACGGGCCTCACATAGCTGCTGCCAGGCCCCTAATCTGCCATGGGCCCCTATATACCGCCTCCTCATGCTGCTGCCAAGTCCAGAGTCTGTCATGGGTCCCTGTACGGCCTCCCATTGCTGCTGTCTCCATCGCCACACTCTGCTGCCATTGCCACTTTCAGGTCTCTTCACACTGCTGGTGTGTTAAATTTTTTGACATAGGGTGCAGGCAGATTACGGGCCTCACATAGCTGCTGCCAGGCCCCTAATCTGCCATGGGCCCCCTATATACCCGCCTCCTCATGCTGCTGCCAAGTCCAGAGTCTCTCATGGGTCCCTGTACGGCCTCCCATTGCTGCTGTCTCCATCGCCACACTCTGCTGCCATGTGCCACTTTCAGGTCTCTTCACACTGCTGTGTGTGTTTAAATTTTTTGACATAGGGTGCAGGCAGATTACGGGCCTCACATAGCTGCTGCCAGGCCCCTAATCTGCCATGGGCCCCTATATATACCGCCTCCTCATGCTGCTGCCAAGTCCAGAGTCTCTCATGGGTCCCTGTACGGCCTCCCATTGCTGCTGTCTCCATCGCCACACTCTGCTGCCATGTGCCACTTTCAGGTCTCTTCACACTGCTGGTGTGTTAAATTTTTTGACATAGGGTGCAGGCAGATTACGGGCCTCACATAGCTGCTGCCAGGCCCCTAATCTGCCATGGGCCCCTATATACCCCCCTCCTCATGCTGCTGCCAAGTCCAGAGTCTCTCATGGGTCCCTGTACGGCCTCCCATTGCTGCTGTCTCCATCGCCACACTCTGCTGCCATGTGCCACTTTCAGGTCTCTTCACACTGCTGGTGTGTTAAATTTTTTGACATAGGGTGCAGGCAGATTACGGGCCTCACATAGCTGCTGCTGCCAGGCCCCTAATCTGCCATGGGCCCCCCTATATACCCGCCTCCTCATGCTGCTGCCAAGTCCAGAGTCTGTCATGGGTCCCTGTACGGCCTCCCATTGCTGCTGTCTCCATCGCCACACTCTGCTGCCATGTGCCACTTTCAGGTCTCTCACACACTGCTGGTGTGTGTTAAATTTTTTGACACATAGGGTGCAGGCAGATTACGGGCCTCACATAGCTGCTGCCCCTAATCTGGCCCCTAATCTGCCATGGGCCCCTATATACCGCCTCCTCATGCTGCTGCCAAGTCCAGAGTCTCTCATGGGTCCCTGTACGGCCTCCCATTGCTGCTGTCCTCCATCGCACACACTCTGCTGCCATGTGCCACTTTCAGGTCTCTTCACACTGCTGGTGTGTTAAATTTTTTGACATAGGGTGCAGGCAGATTAACGGGCCTCACATAGCTGCTGCCAGGCCCCTAATCTGCCATGGGCCCCTAAAAAAAAATACCCCTCCTCTCATGCTGCTGCCAAGTCCAGAGTCTGTCATGGGTCCCTGTACGGCCTCCCATTGCTGCTGTGTCTCCACAGCCGCCATGCACTATGCCATGTGCCACTTTCAGGTCTCTTCACACTGCTGGTGTGTTAAATTTGGAACCCACATAGGGTGCAGGCAGATTACGGGCCCACATAGCATTTATGCCCCCAGTTTTACCAATCTGCCCACCCCCTAAAATATGCTGCCCCCCCCATGCCCAAATACCCGCCCCCATTGCTGCTGTCTCCATCGCCACACTCCCATTGCCATGTGCCACTTTCCAGGTCTCAGTCTTCAACACTGCTGGTGTGTTAAATTTTTTGACATATTTTTCCTTGCAGGCAGATTACGGGCCCTCACATTAGCTGCTGCCAGGCCCCTAATCTGCCATTTTTTTTTAATACCAATTTTTTTTCCTCATGCTGCTGCCAAGTCCAGAGTCTTCATGGTCCCTGTAATAATTTTCCCATTGCTTTAATTGTCTCCATCGCCACACTCTTGCCATGTGCCACTTTCAGGTTTTTTCACATTTATTTTTTTGTTTTAAAAATTTTTTTGACATTTTTGCCACCCCAATTACGGGCCTTTTTAGCACCCCAAATGCCATTCCCCATAATTGCCATGCCCCCCCCTATATTTTTAAAAAATTTTTAATGCCAATTTACAAATTTTTTCCACATTTTTTTATTAAAAAATTATTATAATTCCCAAACTTATAATTTTTTTTTCCCATTTTTTTAAATTTTTTTTTACTTTTTTTTTTCCCAATACCAAATTTTTTTTTCAATTTTAATTTTTACCCCAAATTTTACATTTTTTTTTTTTGCCAAAACTAAATATTTTTTCCATACCATCAATTTGTTTTTTTTTTTTTTTTTTTAATTCCATTATATTTTTTTTTTTTTAACCTTTTTAACCCCAAATTTTTTTTTATAAATAATTTACCCCCCTTATCCAAAACCTGCATTAATTAATTTAAATAAATTTTAACATGGTTCCCAACGTACAATTTTAAAAAAAAAAATTTACATATCTTAAAAAAATTTTTTTTTTTTTTATTAAAATCTAAAAACACTGCTTACACACCCCAATATTACTTTTTTTAATGCAAATAATATTAAAAAACCAAATCTACAACCCAAAAAACCAACCAAAAACCATTTTACATTAAAACATTATCCCCATTTATAAAAACCATACATGGTCCCATAATGCCAATTTACCCCAAACCCAATATAACTTTAATTTTTTTACCACAAAAAAACAGCCAATTGCCACAAAAGGTACAAAAAAAACCCCCCCAAAAAACTGCTACCCAAAAACAAAAAAATACAAAATAAACAAAAAACCCCAAAATCTTCATTCAAAACCCACCTCCCATACCCCCATACTCAAAAAAAGGTCCTTCAAAAACCACCATTTTGCTGCCACCCACAAAAAAAAACAAAAATGGTTACCACAAAATTAAAAAACCAAAACCCCACCCCACAAACCAAAAACCAAAAACACAAAAAAAAAAAAAAAAAAAAAACCCCCAAAAAAAAAAAAAAAAAAAAAAAAAAACAAAACAACCCACCCAACCATTAACAAAAACCAAACCCAAACCAACCCACCAACAAAAAAAACCCCAAAAAAAAAACCTTCAAAACCCCCCCCCCAAAAAAAAAAAAAAAAAAAAAAAAAAAAACCCCCAAAAAAAACCCCCCCCCAAAAAAAAAAACCAAACAAACCCCCAAAAAACAACACCCCCCAAAAAAAACCCCCACACAAAAAAAAACACAAAACCCAAAAAAAAAACAAAAACCCAAAAAAAACCAAAAAAAAACCCCCCCACACCCCAAAAAAAAAAACCAAAAAAAAAAAAAAAAAAAAAAAACAAAACAACCCCAAAAAAAACACAAAAAAAAAAAACCCCCCAAAAACAAAAAAAAAAACCCCCCAACACCACAACCCAAAACAACCCCCCACCCCCCCCAAACACACACAAAACCCAAAAACCAAAAACCAAACACAAAAAACCCCCCCCCAAAAAACCCCAAAAACCCCCCCCCCAAAAAAAAAAAAAAAAAAAAAAAAAAAAAAAAAAAACACCAACAAAAAAACCCAAAAAAACAAAAACCAAAAAACCCAAAAAAAAAACACCAAAAAAAAAAAAAAACCAAAAAAAAAAAACCCCACAAAAAAAAAAAAAAACAAACCCACAAAAAAACAAACCCAAACCCACCAAAAAAAAAACAAAAACCAAAAAAAAAAAAAACAAAACCCCCCAAAAAAAAAAAAAAAAAAAAACCAAAACAAAAAAACCCCCAAACCAAACCAAACCCCCCCACAAAAACCCCCCCCCCCACCCCCCAAAAAAAACCAAAAAACACCCCCAAAAAAAACAAAAACCAAAACACCCCAACAAAAAACCACAACAAAAAAAAAACAAAAAACCCCAAAAAAAAAAAAAAAAACAAAAACAAAAAACCAAACAAAAAACCCAAAAACCAAAACCCCCCCCACACAACCCCCCCACCAAAAACCACACCACCCCCCCCCCCCACCCCCCCACAACCCCCCATCCACTCAAAAAAAACGCCAACACCCCACACCAACAAACAAAAAACACCGGTCCAGAGTCTCTCATGGGTCCCCTGTACGGCCTCCCATTGCTGCTGTCTCCATCGCCCACACTCTGCTGCCATGTGCCACTTTCAGGTCTCTCTTCACACTGCTGGTGTGTTTTAAATTTTTTGACATAGGGTGCAGGCAGATTACGGGCCTCACATAGCTGCTGCCAGCCCCCTAATCTGCCATGGGCCCCTATATACCGCCTCCTCATGCATGCTGCTGCCAAGTCCAGAGTCTGTCATGGGTCCCTGTACGGCCTCCCATTGCTGCTGTCTCCATCGCCACACTCTGCTGCTGCCATGTGCCACTTTCAGGTCTCTCTTCACACTGCTGGTGTGTTAAATTTTTTGACATAGGGTGCAGGCAGATTACGGGCCTCACATAGCTGCTGCCAGCCCCTAATCTGCCATGGGCCCCTATATACCGCCTCCTCCTGCTGCTGCCTGCCAAGTCCAGAGTCTCTCATGGGTCCCCTGTACGGCCTCCCATTGCTGCTGTCTCCATCGCCACACTCTGCTGCCATGTGTGCCACTTTCAGGTCTCTTCACACTGCTGGTGTGTTAAATTTTTTGACATAGGGTGCAGGCAGATAACGGGCCTCACATAGCTGCTGCCAGGCCCCTAATCTGCCATGGGCCCCTATAACCGCCTCCTCCTGCTGCTGCCAAGTCCAGGTCTGTCATGAGTCCCTACGACATAGGGTGCTGGCAGATTTACGGGCCTCCTATAGCTGCTGCCGAGCCCCTACAATCGGCCATAAATAGCCCCTATAGTACCGGAGCCTCCTCATGCTGCTGCCAAGTCCAGAGATCTGTCATGGTTCACCTGGACGCCTCCCATTGCTGTGCTGTCCTGCAATCGCCACACGACACTCTCGCCATGTGCCACTTTCAGGTCTCCTCCACACACGCTGGTGGTGTAGAATTTTTTTGACATAGGGTGCGGGCAGATTACGGGCCACCCATAGCTGCGGCCAGGCCGCCCTAAATCT